CAACTCGCCTTTACTACTTCCTTCACCACTTCCTACGTCACGGACCTGTTTCCCTCCCTTCCCATAGCGTCATAGGATTGCAAATACCTTAATATAATGGTAATAAACAGATCCCATACCCTGAACGGCTGACCTCTACTACTTTCTTCACCACTTCCTACGTCGCGGACCTGTTTCCTTCCCTTCCAATAGCATTTTAGGATTGCAGATACCTCAATCTAATCGTCATAGACAGTTCCCACACACCGGACTGCTTGCCAGCTCGCCTTGACTACTTCCTTCACCACTTTCTACGTCGCGGACCCGTTTTTTCTCCCTTCCCATAGAATTTTAGGAATGCAGATACCTAAATCTAATAGTCATCAACAGTTTCCACACTCCAGTATGCTCACCTTTACTACTTCCTTCACCACTTCCTACGTCACGGATCTGTTTCCTTCCCTTCCAATAGGTTTTTAGGATTGCAGATACCTTAATCTAATCGTCATAGACAGTTCCCACACTCCGGACAGCTCGCCAGCTCACCTTTACTACTTCCTTCTCCACTTCCTACGTCACGGACCTCAAGATAGTGTCGTCATTTGATTATATTTATGATTTATGATTATATTTATGATTGATTATGTTTATGTTGATTATGTTTATGTGTCAAATACTGCTTCCATAAGGATTACATTGAAACTTTGATACCCAGTGGGGCGGATTCCTGAGAGACTTTTTTAACGCCATATAGATGTTGGCACTCACCGATATGGTCTTTATCACCAGGCAAAATTTGAAAACGATTGATTCAGCCGTCTAGGAGGAGTTTGCGTATTACGAAATGCATAAAAGTCGACGTATAAGAGCTTCGCTCAATAAACAAGCTGGCTGTTTGTAAGATTTTAATGGTAAGAGTTTAGTACAACTATCCACCAATGTGACGTTGTGTTGCGCTGCCCGCGCTGCAGCATGGCCTGTTTTTTCAAGTGGGGCCTTGGCCTAGCTCATTGTTCTCAGTCTACTCCCGGAGACAACTGAATTTCAGGGCAGTTGACAAGGCAATTGGCCTGAAGTGTTTACGCGAAGCCAATAATTTCATGCCAGTCAGTTCAATTGTCTTACCTACTGGCATTGTGTAAACCCGACTTAAGAAGAATGGTTTTCTACCTCTCTTTGCCTCACTAGCCCACAAACTGCTAAGGTGCTGCATGCTATTGAGAGAGGCTTCAAAATAACTGTAGTCCAATGAGTACTTTTGCCTGTCTGCAATCTCTTCACTTCAGCTTTTAAGTGTGTACCCAAGATACCCAAGATGTACAAGATCTGGGATGTACCCATCCTACACTCATCTCCATTCATACTTGGCTTAAAATACCCACTATGTATGCAGTGGCGTTGCTTGGTTAAATTCCAGGGGGGGGAGAAGCCTCAAATTTCCCAACTGCTTAACATAGATTTCCCAACAATTTTTTCTTAGAAATCAAATTCTGTACTATTTTTAAAAATCTACAAATTATTATACTACACTGCAGTAACATTCAATTCAGTATTTATAAACTTGCATTAACAAAACATAGCTAGTTTTACATAGGCTACATACAAAATTACTCAATTTCTAAAACTTCTACCAATTCATAATGAAATTTTATGACTTCAAAAAACTTGAACAAGTAATGTTTCAAATCCAAAAAACTTTACAAACCATTGTGGTAGCAGACGTAGCAGTGAAAAGTTTTAGGTACCTATATAAAATAAGCCTCAGAGTACAAATTAGTATAGAAAAAATATTTTTTTACAAAATAATAAAATTAAAATACTTTAAGAAGTTAAGATCAACATTTTAACTTTCATAAAACTTACAACTAGGGTAGGCCTAAACAAGTTCGTAATGATGAAATATTAATATCAGTCAGTGTTATGAACAATATTATTCTAGTCTAGAAAAGAATAAACCTAAAATAAGACTAGTATAAAATAAAAACGTTCAATTTGGTTGATAATAAACTTATACATTCAATAAAAATGTTAAGTAACCTTCATCTTCATCAAACTAGAACTTAGACAAAAATCAAACTTAGAGTGAAAGTCAAACATCAAATTTTATGTTAAGTTTTGTCCACGTAGATCTGTTTCAGAGTGATTAGTTGATTCATTTTTGTAAATCCTTAATTAGGAATGATAAATAACTTGTGGAGATTTTTTAAATATATTCAGAGAATAAATATTCCATTTACGTTATTAAAAAATAAGAGTTTTAAAGGTAATACCGATACACAAAACCTATCTTTAATGTTATTTTAATCTGCTTATTGGAAAGTACTCCAGTCAGTTAGCCTGCTCCAAATACAAAAAAAAGGTATAAAACATATTTCATGTGACTGACTGAAAAATATTTTTGAATTTCTTGTAAACACTAACAAACAACAAAATTGAACAGAAGAGCTACATTGCTTGCACTTTCAAAATTCAAACTCCCAGTCTCGCAGACGAATCATTCAGAATCATCAACACAGGACAGGATCAAGGTAGCCAACATAGTCAAATAAGGAACAAAATTTCTCGTAAACGAAATTCCAACACGCTATACCGCTAATTGATTATTGAATTCTTAAAATAAGGCGTGTTTAGCCATGGTTTAGCCTTGTTTAATCAAAGTTAAATGAAATCAAAGAAGCGTCAAGTTTATTCGTCCAAGTCAATGAAATTTTTATCTTTGATGGATTTTCGCAAATAATTTAAATTTTGTTTAGTTTAAAAATATATTTTTCTTGTTTCCCAACTGTCCCAACTCGTGGCAAGGAAATTCCCAACTTTTCTCTTTCCCAGATTCTAGGGGGGGGAGGCTCCCCCCCCTACCCCCCCCAAGGCGACGCCCCTGTATGTATGGTCGCCATTTCATTGAACAGTATTAAACAGTATTGTGTTCCTTTACCAAGCATATAGAAGCATTATTATATTGCTCTTTTGCCGACCGCAATATATACCGACAGGGTATAGCAAAAAAACTTTAAACAATCCTTGGTCTGGCCTCTTCAGTGCAGCGTTACTGTCTAATAAATTAAAACGCTCAAAACATCAAATGTATATCTAAAGGTCACCTTGGATAAGATTGCCAAATGGAACAAATAATTTAAACGACTTTTTTGGGCAAATAATTTCAGCCGTTCTATTCTTCTCTTATCCCTAAAAGTTTACTGTAGAATTTTCAACCCTCTTATCCTGCACAGATTGTTACACGTTCTAATGTTTCTTAGCAGGGCCAATTAACCGAATAGGCACGTCCCTAGGGAGCAAGGCGAGGCGATTGGCTTTTTTGAAGGGCGCCAAAATTGGAAAGTAAAAAAATAATTTGGTGATTGTATTTGCATGCGATTGCGGTAAGCCTCTGATAATCCCTCGCGGCTGTGTTGATATCATTATCGTTTGCCGTGATCGCAGCAAAATTCTGAATATATCCCGCGGTCGTATGGACATAATCATCGTCTTCCATGATCGTGGCAAATATATCTTCTTATCTTATCTTATCTTACAGGGGCAGGTCGAGACCTTAAAGCACTTCATCCGCAATCGAATTATTGCGCACCCCAGACAATTGTTTTCTTGTTGACCTTACAAGTTAAGGCGTCCAATGAATGCCTGTAGCTTCCCAATAAGTTCATCCGTCGGGAAGATATCTTCCTCTAGCCAGATTACCAAGAGTTATCATTCTAGCACCAGAGAGCTTGTCACAGTCAAAGAGTAGGTGATCGGCTGTCTCGTCTGACCTATCACAGTGCCTACAGATCGGTTCACCATCAAATATGCCCATCCGTTGTAAATGTTTCCTGAATCGCCCGTGGCCAGTTATCAGTTCTACAATTAGTTTGATTCTTCGTCTGTCTAGTCTCAAGAGGTGAGAGGCAACCTTTTTGGAAGGCCTAAACAGAGTGAGCTTGCTGACCCTGAGAAGGGGAACGTTGACCCAGCGTTTGCGATGCTTTTCTTTGACCCATGACGCAATTGCAGAACATGCACTGTTTTGTGAGATGCCACAGATGGGTTTTGGGCCTATCATAGTTGTCACTAAGGCAGTGTTTGCCAATCTATCTGCAGCTTCATTACCTTTTATGCCTGAGTGTCCTGGCACCCAGGAGAGCGTAAGATCATTTCTCCTACCCAACTCAGACACAGAAGCAAGGCAGTCCTACACGAGCCTAGAGTTGAATTTGTAAGAGTTTAGTGCTTTTAAGGTTGCTATGCTTGACTATCAGTGTAGATATTGATTGTTTTGTCTCTGATCTCTTTATTAAGATGTTCACGAGCACAAACCAAGATGGTAGTGACCTCCGCTTGAAAAACAGTTGGGCACACCCCCATGGGAAGACAAATGCTAGTGCCTTCATTTATCCAATGCACACCTGCTCCAGTGCCCTCATTTTTGATCTTAAACCATCAGTGTAGCATTCTAAATCATGAGTGTGGCAATATATGAACATATCCTGCGGTTGTGAGGAGATTATTGTCGTCTACTGCGAATGAGGCAAAATTCTGATATTTTCCCTCGGTCGTGTGGACATTATCTGTCTTGCGAAATTGCGGTAAAATTCTGATAATCGCTTGCCGATATCATTATTGTATCTCCCTCGGTCCTGTAGAGATCATCATCGTCTTCCATGGTTGCGGCAACATTCTGACTGTTTCCCACGGTCGTGTAGACATTATTATCGTCTTCAGCAAAATACAACATTCACGCATAATTCCCGGTTAAAAAAAATCCACGCATAATTCCCGGATTATCCGGTCGGTGGTCACCCTATTATATATATTGCAAAGGGCGCTACTATTAGTTGTGCCTAGGACGCTGACATTGTCAAAAACGGGCCTATTTCTTAGTTAATCCTAACATTTTTTTTGCATGTTGAAAATCACATCACTAAGTGAAATCTCATGTTCCAGTTAGCTAGAAAGATTCAAAATGTGGATGAGATGTCTCAAGAGTGCAAAGCAGGAATTTATGGACTTAGAGTAAAGTTCATCATGTCAATGTACCAAGATTACACTATATTGATACCCCTCTTGTCCAGAGCGATAGAACTGGACCCAGGATTTGGTTACTGGTACTATCTCAGTGGAAAAGTAATAAGTATGTTATTTCACATTGACCTATTAAAATGTTTCTATAATATAATTTATTTCAAACAGTATAAGTATTGCTTTAAATCTAGCAAAATCACTAGTTTGCAGTATCATTACTCTTGCTTTCATTTAATATTTGAAGTGGTTATATTGTGAGACTAGCATAAAAAGACAAGGTGTAATTCAGGCTTCAGTTCTTTAATCTCAGTTATTAAATCCCAAACTCTTAATTTAAATATGAACCAACTTTTAAACCTCTAATTTATGTGGGCTCTATCCTGCCAACTTTTCACCGCCCTGGGATGCGGGGGACGATCCCAGACATTAACCTTTTGAGTCTCTTTTGCCAAGGATCAGAGGCTGGAGAGTCCTGGAGGATTACACGGCCAGTGACCACCAGTACATAATTTTTGACGTCCTGGATGGCTGCAATTCGTCAAGTGCCCGTTCGATGGAACATTAAAAAACTGGACGTGGCAAAATTCAATGGAGCCATCCTACGAAGAACGCCGGTGATTCATCCCGCAACTGGCGTGCCTCACGCAGAGGCGTTAGCTGCATCCACGATGGAACTGATTGTCTCGGCCTGCGATGAGTCTATGCCTCGCAGGAGATACCTGTGCAATATGCGTCCTGTGTACTGGTGGACTGCCGAGATTGCGGAATTGCGTCGAGCAGCATTGAGAGCCAGAAGACTTGCTACCAGGGCTAGAGAACCCCTAGACAGACGGCGTAAGTCGTCTGGCTGCCGGTTAGAACCCACTTAAAGCCCAATGATCAGGAACAGCTGGGTCAGTTTCGATCCATCAAAAAGCTTCTGATTTTTCTTAAGATCGAATCGGCGACCTTAAGATATTTTATTTGTGCTATGTTCTTGTGTTTGGTCTAATGATAGAACATAGATTTTCTGAAATTATGTTGTGTTAGGAGTCGGGATAAGAAGACTACATAAAGGATAAAGAAAAAAAGAGTGGGTGCAATGTAGTTAAGATATCTTGTTTTGTAATGATTTAAAACCGCAGAGGCTCTTGGTTGCTCAGTTTGAATTTTTAGAGTTTAATCTTAAATTAATAGGTTGTAGTTAGAATCAAACTAAAGAGGATGAACAATAAAAAAATGTTTTTTTTAGGGCGACTAAGAAGAGAGTATGAAGAAAACATGGTCATAGAAGAGTTGGATCACTTTGCAAAGGCTGTAGAGTTACAAAGGAACCCAAAGTTTTTAGTTTTCCTAGCTCAAGCATATCAAGAACTTGCAAATCTTCTGTTTCATACCAAAGATACAAGCGTAAAAAACACTGTTGATGAGTTCCTTCAAAAGTCTGTTGAGCTGTTTAGGTAAATTTGTGATTAGATTTAAAGATATGATATATGTCTAGAATTTGCAAATTCTCAGATTCTTCCTGATAAGTTAAATTATAACTCTGCAGTAAGTGCAATACTTAATTATTGATCAGATTGTATTTTGGATTCCCCTCTAAAATTTACTGTACATAAATAGGGCTTGTTTATTTGTTGTTTTAGTTGTCCACCCCTTAACCATCAATACACAACTGTAATAAAAAGAATTTTAATTTCAAATTAACATGTAACATGATGGTGATCACCATTGCCACTGAGATGCATTTGTCATTACAAAACCTGACAGCTTCCATGACAGCTTTCATTAACTCTGCTGACTTTTGAGCTATTTTAACACTTAATCTCCATCTCCAGCAGTATAATGCATACATCTATTCATCATTGACCACAGCAAATTGTAAAATGTAAAGAAATTTTCAACATTTGAGTACCCATTTGCAAAAATATAACCTAATCTCCAAACGATCCTTTAAGAGTCTGTGAGAAGTAATTTCAATTTGTTTACATGAGAATAAAACTGGGTAAATTATCATTTTATTATAAATGTTGTTTGTAATAACAATGGTCATGACCATGGAAATTTTCTAGGGAATGTTGGCAGCTAAAGAGTGATTCTGCTTCAATATCAAAAAGAGTTGGAAATGGAATGATGAAGATGAAACGTGGATTTATTGATAAGAAAGTAGCAATAGAAGCCTTACTGAAAGCCAATGAACTTTCACTTAAAAAACCAAACTTTGCTTTAGGAAAGTTTTACTGTATACATGAACAGGTACCTATGTTGTAGAGGTTGTAGTTAATATTATTGATAAAGAGCAATTTTAATATTTAATTTCGCAATCACATCTGTTTCCTCAGGTAAAATAATTCTAATATCAGAAAATTTACCACAAAGTATCCACTTCTACTGACCACCGGGTGTTGGTTTCCCTGCTCTTTTGACCATTATTGTGTTCTAACAATGGCGTGGTATACACTGAATGGTGTGTGTAGCGTATTAACTTATACTAGGTGAATCCTGTCGAAAACTGATGGTTAATTTTAATTTTTTACAATATCAATCATCAATAAAATAAATAAGGCGCAAGTGGATATTTATTGGCATGCACTGTGGATGCGATACTCCCTGGTGTGGATTAACGTCCGCACGAGTGAGTACTACGACTAAGCGCAGTACTATCCTGATAATTAGACCAATTCGTATATACCAAGGAAAAATGTGGTTCGGATTCCACTATAAACTGTAGGTCCCTTTGTTGCCATTAGCTGTATGGGCTATTAATTAACAGCTGTGTCTAAGGAATGTCGGCCTTAGTCACTAACAAGACCACAAGATTGCGCCACTCATCCTACACTCATCTCCATTCATACTTGGCTTAAAATACCTACTATGTATGATCGCCATTTCATTGAACAGAACAGTATTGAACAACAATAACAATAATTAAAATTGTGGACATTCGACTTTATTTATTAAAAGAAGGGTAAAGACAATAATAATGATTGATAAAATTCCAAAGAGTGAAGGAGATTAAACAATTCTCTGACAGCATTAAGTACAGCATTACTGGCGAAACTTGCTAGAAAACTCAGGAGTAAAAATCTTACCACCATAGGCTGCGTCATTCATTGGAATGTTTGTTGAGCGGAGCGAGCAAAGTCCTTTTACTACACTCCTGGTTTTGTTTTAGAAATACTCCTGAACGGCTGAAGAGATCCGCACCAAAATTTATCACAGTCATAATCATAGTAATCATCTATGGGAGGAAGGTATAAATAAATCTGAAATGGTATAAATCAGATAGAAATATAACTAGAAATATTTTTATTGCTAGTGGTATTCTACTGTGTTTTTCTTGTTTTATTTAACAAGAAAAATTATGTAAATTACTCTTTGCAAATATTTTTTAAACACATGTTAAAATCATTTATAGTTGTTGTATTACAGAATGTTTTTTTACAGAATGTTGAAAAGGCTTTGGAATTCTTCAAAAAAGATGCTCCCAGTAACTATGCAAGTCCTGAAATAATTCGATTGAGTCTCATAATGTCAAATCCCAACTACAATCTTGATCTTGAGGAAGTGCTGATTGAATGGGTGAATGCTGATCAAGGAACATTAAAACAACAATCTGCCCTTTGTGACTGCGGATGGTACTACTTGATCTACAGAAAAGACCTGGAATCAGCTGTTGATTGTTTTTGGAGAGTCTTGCAGGCAGATTTCAAAGCGTTTAAAGTTTTGGTAAGTTTTTTATGGTATATGATTTTTATTTTCCAATTTTACTCATGCACATTTTCACTTCTCTTTTACATATTATGATTATAAAAACCCAATTAAGAATCAATCATATATTGTAGTATTATATTATAAAAAGTATTATAAAAACCTAAACTAATATATTTTTCTTGGTTTGATGTAACCACTGACATTTCGAGTAAACAGCAGTTATAAGCGATAAGTGGTGCGGCAACGTGGTCTCGGCTAAACCAGTGTGGACTCGATAGTGGACAGTGAATGACTTGTGAATTTACCATCTAATTATTACAATTGTGGTGCGTGTTAAGTGGTCATATGACAGAATCAAAAATCGATAAATATTTTACACCAGTAAATAGGTCATTCAAACGGCAGAGATCTTATTCGTCACCGGAGTGTGCAGACGACGTCGAGACGGTAACGGCCAACATTGGGCAGCGAAGAAAAGGTAGGCGATATTACACGATCCCAACTTCTGAAGGACTTGGGCCAGTTGCTTGATAGTAAATTAGAAAATATGGCAACCAAAAAGGAGTTCTCTCAACTCACGGGGCAAGTGTCGGAGTTACAAAAGGAGAATATTGTACTAAGGAAACAAATAGAGGACTTACAACAGAGAGAGAGTGTGGTTATGTCTAGGTTAGTCGATCTTGAAGGAAGATCTAGGCGTAACAACCTCATATTTAGGAGGTTGAAGTGGTCCAAGGAAACACGTAACTTCAATGAAATCGTGCGAAAGTTTTGCAACGATGTTTTCGGGAGTGCGGATACTATATTTGTTAATAGAGCCCACCCTCTAGGGGGAAGTAACAATGCAATCATTGCACACCTACCAAATGACGCCGACATCTACTATATTATGTCACGTGTAAGAGAGTTAAAAGGCACCGGTTATTCAGTGCATAGAGACTATCCTAAAGAAGTGCGTGAAAAACGAGCATGTCTGTCAAAGCTTAGAGACGAAATTGAAAGTGTGGCGGGGAAACAAAAGAATAAAATATCATTATATTTCGACCATATGACTTTCAAAGGACATCGGTTCACATGGGAGGGAGGTGAACTAAAGGCAGGCAACCAGGATGGTGCTCAATTGTTGCAGACACTCTTCAAACGCGATTTTTCAGACTTCTTACGTGATCTTAAAGTACCCAGATCTACAGTAGTGACGGACATGTCAACAGAGAGGACAACAGCTTCAACAACGCAGGGGTCGGCGAGTGCTACGGGTACGTCGCAGAACGTGTCAGTTTCAACACCTACGCAGTCGCCTCGCGCTTCCATCAACCAGGACAATGAATGAGGAGGTGACGCCAATCCATCTACAGAGGGACCAACTCCAAACCACAACCCAACGACGACCGGACTTTCACAATTCAAGGTTTTATCTTTTAACGTTTGTGGATTAAAAAATAAGGTAAATGATTTTTCATTTTTAGAGTTTATAAAGGAGTTTGATTTAATTATATTTTTAGAAACATTTGTCGCGGAAAAGGATCAAGATATTATTGTAAATAGGTTAAGTAACTTTGATTTAACTTTTACTTTCGCAGTGAGAACTGCTAATGTTGGAAGATATTCAGGTGGCCTAGTTTACGCATGCGTTCTTGGGTGTTCGTTTCTAGGTTGGATGCTAGTGTGACAAAAGACAGTATTGAGTGTTACTTATCAGAGAACAGTATCAAGGACCATGTTTGTACCGAATTAAATACAAGATATGACACTTACAAATCCTTTAAAGTTGGAGTTAATGACTCTGAGCTTGAAACTGTCCTAGATCCAAATTTTTGGGAAGCAGGAGTTTTAGTGAAAGAGTACATGCCAAGAAGACACTCAGCGAGAAACGCCTACAATACTAGGAACTTCGTGCCACGGAACTTGTCTGCAAATAAGGAGCCTTTAAACTTGAATGCTTATCATCAAGACTCGGGACCGTAGAACGAGAACAGTGTGAATCGTTTCAGAGTATTTTTAGTAGGCCTACATCTAACAGCTACGTAGCTAATACAAGTGGACAAATAGTAAAAGCTTTGTTCCTAAATGTTGAAGGTATTTCTGGTAAATCAAACTTTCTTAGCCTTATGACGAAACAACATGATTTAAGTATAATGTGTTTCAGTGAGCACTGGAAGAAGGATGACGCCATACAGTACGAGGTGATTGATGGATTTTTGCTGGCTGCAAGTTATTGTAGGAAAGAACATGTCAAAGGTGGTGTAGCTGTGTATCTCAGGGATAACATATCTTACGAAGAAATAAATTTAAATTGGCTCTGTGAAGAATTGACATTTGAAGTAGCGGTGGTCAAACTTTTAAGTTTAAAGATAATAGTAGTTAGCCTATATCGATCGCCTCAAGGAGACCCTAACCTCTTTTTGGATAAACTAGAAGTACTTTTAAACTGTCTATCGAATTTTAAGTGTGAAGTTTACATTGGCGGTGACTATAATGCACATTTTGACGTCACAACAGAACGCCCTACTGTTATTAAATTTAAAAATCTGTTAAAGGAATTTGGAATGACATATATTAACACTCTTCCAACTCGAGAAGATGCGTGTCTAGACAATGTCATAACAACCCACCGAACTCAAGATTACAATATGGATGTAGTAAATTGTTTTTTCTCTGACCATTCGGGTATTACTGTGACCCTAAACGTGGAACGACGTGCAGATACGCCCAACTCCAAAGTTTCCTATGGAAGAAATTTATCTAAAAAAAGACTCGATGTTTTGAGACAACACTTGTTTATGGTTGATTGGATGCAAATTCTACATGGAGAGGAAGAAGCTGAGTCCGCTTTTAATAAGTTTTTTAAGGTTTTTTATGGTATTTTTGATGAAGTGTGTCCTCGTAAACCTTTGAGAAAACCTACTATTAACCGAAACGTGCCTAAATTGAACTGGTATACACCTCAGCTGGAACATCTAAAAAATACCATGATGGCCTTCAGAACTATGTTCCTTGTTCAGCGAAGCAACTTAACCGAATTGGCATATAAGAAAAGCAAGCAAGTTTACAAGGAGGCGGTTAATAAAGCTAAACTTAATTACAATGTTGAATACATAGAATCGTCTGACAACAAGTCAAAGGCTGCTTGGACACTTGTAAATAATCTACGGAGCAAGAGCGTCAAGTCACCAGAGATCCAGATTCCCCCAGAGGAGTTTAACTCGTACTACCTTTCAGCTGTTCAGGAGGCCAGAGACAGCATCATTCAACCCCAGACTACTGCGCTTGACTTCATGGAAAATTCACCTTTGCCTGAAGAAAACTTCAAATGGGAGGAAGTGTCATGTGCAAATGTGCTCAGTGTCGTGAAAAAAATGAAAAAATCTAAAAGTAAAGATATCTTTGATCTTTCTAATCATCTAGTCAAATGTGTAATCGAGTCCATTTTGCTTCCTCTAACTTTTTGTATTAATTTGTGTCTTAAACAGGGTATTTTTCCCTCTAAGCTTAAAATATCAAGAGTGGTCCCCCTGTATAAAAAAAGTGGTGAAAAATCTGTGCCAAAGAGTTACCGACCGATTTCTATAGTACCAGTTTTAGGCAAGGTTGTTGAACAAGTTGTAAAACTCCAGGTATGTACCTACTTTAATCAGCTGAGCCTAATTAGTGCTTCACAATTTGGCTATCAGATGGGTAAGAGCACTACGAGTGCAGTTCTATCAATTGTTGATGATTTAATCAGTTGTTTTGAGGATCGAAGCCTTGCTCAGATCACTGCCTGCGACCTGAGCAAGGCATTTGATTGTGTCGACCATTTAATTCTTTGTCAAAAGCTACAGTGTCTGGGTTTTCATGGCGTTCAGCTTGATTTCTTTAAGTCGTACCTGGAAGGGAGATTCCAAATTATAGATGTTGCTGGTAAAAAGTCATCTGCTTCTCATGTCAAATTTGGTGTACCACAAGGTTCTGTGTTAGGGCCTATTTTATTCCTTGTCATGGTAAATGATCTGCCATCTACTATTAAGTCATCGAAAACCATCATGTTTGCTGACGACACATCTTTCCTTACAGTAAGTAAAGATTTGCCAACTGTGAATGGTATTGCTGATGAAACTCTTAATCAGGCTGTTACATGGTTCAGAGCTAATGGTTTTAAACTTAATGAATCAAAAACACAAAAAGCAATATACTCCTTAAATAGTAGACTTGTTTATTCAGATGAATTTGTTAAGTGCATTAAGTTACTAGGGGTGCAAATAGATTGTAACTTAACTTGGAATAGCCAAATAGATTTAGTTTGCAGTAAATTGTCAAAAGTTGTATATTTGTTAAAAGTTTTAAAATTTTACGTTCCTGTTACTTATTTATTGTCTGTTTATTATGCTTTGTTAGACTATGGTATTATTTTATGGGGAAACTCTGGCAGGATAACTGATGTTTTGTTGTTGCAAAAGAAAGCTATTAGGATAGTAACAAACTCAAAGAAAAAAGCTCACTGTAAACCTCTTTTTACTGAAACTGGTGTTATGACTGTTATCTGTTTGTACATTTTTAGGTTATTGTTATTTATAAAATCAAATGAATCAAGTCTTGTTTTTAATAATGACATCCATTCCTATAACACTAGAAGTAGTAGAAATGTTCATATTGATCAAGCTAGGTTAGCTAAAACTTTAAGAAGCCATTCATGTGTAGGTGTTAGACTTTTTAACCATTTGCCTTTAGATATAAGATGTTTGCCTTTTCCTAGTTTTAAAAAAGCCATTCACCTTTTGCTAGTCAACAATCCTTCCTACTGTATTAAGGAGTATTATGAAAGATGTTTGAATCTGTGATACTGTTAATTGTTTTTGTAGGTAGCTGTGTTATTGTTATTCATATAGGCTAAATCTGTGATATTTAATTTTATTATTTTAATAATTGTACTTGACAAGGTCGTATGCACTGTAATATTTTGTGTTCTTAGACCAATAAATCTCTTGACTCTTGACTCATTAAATCGTAACTCTCGTTTTATAAGCAATGTAACGTTTGTAAACTTTGAATATTTTAATGTGGTTAGGCTAGACAATATTGTTTTTGGATGCGAGCAATTGTTTATAGTGCCTGTTTACCTAAATTTCAATTGTTGGCAAATAGATTATAATAGGCTTCAAAGTTTCTTTGATAATAGCTGTTTCCAGAATATAGTCCTTATTGGGGATTTAAATGGGCGTATTGGAATAGAACAGAGTTTTTCTGAAAATATAATTAGCATTTCGAATAATAGGATTGAGGACATTAGACATTCAAAAGACAACATTTTAAATTCAAATGGGCGTAAAATATTAGATTTGTGTGACAATTTAGGATTAGTAGTTTTAAACGGAAGGTCCATAGGGGATAAAGAGGGGGAATTTACTTTTGTTGGACATAGGGGTAACTCAGTCATAGATATAGCAGCGGTCACTTTTAATTGTTTACATTCGATTCACGACTTCAAAGTTGTTGGTTTTTCCGGATCAGATCATATGCCGATAGAAGTAAGTTTAAATGTTGAGACTCCTGGGCCTGTGGGAGGGGGTGCAGGGGAGGGGAAAACTATACCATTGTTGCCAAAGCTGAAATGGACGAATTTTGATTGTCTGAACTATACTAGCAAAGTTGAGGGAAGTATGAAATCTTTTTCGCCACAAAATGTTAATGATGTAATAAATGTTATAACTAATTCTGCACATTATAAGCTAGGTTCAAAGAGTAATACACCTTTTGTTGGTAAACAACCTTGGTTTGACTATCACTGTTTAAACGCTAGAAAGAGGGTGTTTAAATTGTTACAGCTTTTTAGACAAACCAATTCAACTGAAATAAAGGCTAAGTATGTTGAGGAGCAGAGGAAATATAAACAGCTATGTACAGGAAAGAAGAACGAATACAACTATTCTTTAATCTCAACTCTTACTGTGTCTAAAGATTCCAAAACGTGTTGGCGAGCAATAAACTCTTTTAAGTGTAAAAATAACATAAACCGAGTAGGAAATATAAAACCTGAAGAATGGGTTACACACTTTAAAACTTTACTAAATCCTCTGGTGGAGAGTACTATCTCGTTTGCAGAACCTTTTATTGCCGATGATTATCTTGATAAAGACTTTAATTTCCTAGAATTAAAAGTTGTTTTGTCCAGCTTGAAAAATAATAAAGCACCGGGCCTAGATAGAGTCCCCTATGAGTTTTATAAGAATGCCCCAGACCTGTTTTTGACTAAACTACTTAATATTTATAATGACATTTTTCGGAATAAGGTCATACCAGAAAGCTTTAAAAAATCGATAATTTTTCCATTGTTTAAAAAGGGTGATATTAATTCAGTTCAAAATTATAGAGGATTGTCTTTTATAAATTGTATTGGTAAAATATTTATAGGAATGCTAAATAATAGACTTCGAAATTGGGTCAATGAAAACCACATCTTATCTGAGTTCCAGGCGGGTTTCAGACAAAACTATTCCACTATAGATAATATTTTTAATTTGGCATCGATGATCAAACTACGTTTAGCGGAGAAAGGTGGTAAGTTGTATGCATTTTTTGTGGATTTTTCAAGTGCGTTCGACACTATTGATAGAAGATCACTAATATTAAAACTTTCATCAATCGGCGTATCAACGCACGTTTTAGATGTTTTGAGGAGTTATTATTGTAACACATCTGCAGCGGTTTGGTGTAAGGGCGGCATTTCAGATGAGTTTGAGACAAAGACAGGTTTAAGACAAGGATGTATAGGAAGTCCTCTCCTGTTCAGCTTATTCGTAAATGATTTGCCAGAGGTGCTGGAAGGTGGCTGTAATTTTGGTGGAAAGAGAGTAAATGTTTTGATGTATGCAGACGACATCGTATTGTTGGCCCCCACAGCAACAGTGTTACAAATGATGATTAAAAACTTGGAGTGTTACAGTGCAATTTGGAACCTTACAGTAAATCTATCTAAATCCAAAATAATGGTTTTTAGGAAAGGTGGTAGATTATCGGGACATGATAGATGGTGGTATAAGGGCAAACAGGTTGAAGTGGTAGATAGTTATAAATATTTGGGAATGTTGTTTACAACGACATTGTCATGGGAAAAACATTTCATAGAGAAGAGGAGGCTAACTAATTATGCAATTAATTCAGTATGGCAAAGGCTAGTAGACAACAGCAAAGTCCCGCTGCATATTAAGATATTATGTTTCGAATCTATTCTCAGAGCTATTTTGTGTTACGGCGCACAAGTTTGGGGGTTTTCAGAAATTTCTCAGTTAGAAAATGCTCAGAAAACGTTTATTAAAAGGATTTTTAGATTGCCACATAACACTCCCAACTATATTGTTTACTTAGAAACATGTTTTGAAAAGTTATATTTCTTTAATCTACAAATTAACGCAACATACATTTTTAAGGTTTTTAATTTGCCAGAATCACGCTTACCTAAAATTATTGCTAAATCTGTAATTGGAAAAGGTATTTTTTGGGCCAAAGAGTGGAAATGTCTAGGGCGAAAACACGGTTTGGATATTAATTTCGAGTCAGCAGATGTTTTTGAGGGATTAGTGAAGATAATTGAGGCGGAAAGAGATAGCTGGAGAATTGATATGGTTGGCAGAGCGCGTACATCGCAATATCACCAACAACTGCTTGCCGTTGACCTTGACCTAGGGCCCAGGAGTTTTCTCACTGATAGCATCAATATAAATCTTATCTCATGGGTCATTAAGGCCCGAGCCGAGCTGGTTGATTTGAATCACAAACCATGGATAACAAATAAAAATCATTTCTGTAGTCTGTGCAATTTGCGCGAATTTGAAACAGTTTTTCATTTTGTTTCTATTTGCCCAATTTTAGGTGATATCAGAGAGTATTGGTTTGGGAAACGAAGCATGCATTGGGGCGAACACATAGAATACATAAATGGTAGGGATTGGCGTAAATTAGCAAACTTTATGAGAGAGGCGTGGAGAAGGAGGTGGGAGTTAATTAGAGAATTTAATTACGAATAAATCAAGTGAAGTTTTTTTTTCCAAATTCAAAATTGTTTTTTTCTCTTTCTAATTTATAAATTATAGCAAAACAATAAATATGTCAAATAAATTGTCAGCCTGTCTTCTTGAATATTCATAGTAATTTTTATAGATTTCATTATGCGTAAACCTTTTAAAACCTAATAATTTTACAAGTAAAATAATACAAGTTATGTAAACAATATTATGAAAAAGGTTTTTTTTAAGTTTAGTTTAAAAATGGATGTAAAATTGTATGTACATTTGTGTATGTTATTAAGTGTATTTTGTTTCAACTTCATTTTCATAAATGTGTTTTCCAGGTGTGTCAACCAAACAGACGGTCGTAGACCATTGTTTATTAAGTGTTTGATTATGTTTATGAGGGGAATGTTTATTTTAAAATAAAGCACTTTATTCATTTTATTCATTCATTCATTCACTGACATTTCAGTTCTTCTTACAGGAATTCCAAAGCTATGGATTCATGGTTCAAGGTCCCATAAACATGGTTGAGGTTTTGGTAAATGAAATTTTATTAGCAAGAGAAAAAAAAGAGATCCAGCCAACTAAACAGAAGAAATTAGAGAAATTCCTGGATAGGATGTTAGAGAAATATCCTGATCTCAAAGATATCACTCCTAAACCAAAACTACTTGACCAGTTAAACTCAGAGGTGGAACGCTCAATTGATTTACATAGAAGAAGGTTTTTTTGGACTAATCGTAGCTATGGGGTCAATCGTAGAAGGAACGAACTGAAAATAAGATCAGATGAGCCATGCAACTGGAGAGCAAAAACTAATCCAGAAGACAGCAATGTTCAGGAACTTGAGGAACAAGTACGCAACTGGCAGGATGAAGAACAGATCAATTTGACTGATACAAAAGATAACAGACGTGATTGGAAGAACACATTCGATAATGGAGACAACGATAGAAAAAGCAGAGAATCCAATCGTAACCGGAGCTCTGGAAGAGATGGTTACAACTGGAGAACTAGAGATTCTAGAGAAGAGATGGGCCAACAGAGTAGAGTAAATACTACAACTACATCATATTATAAGAATAGAGGGAAAAGTAATAGTAGATATGATGTAACAGTAACAGACTGGCGTAGGGAGGGCAAAAACTGAAATACTAAATACCTTAGTTAAACTAATGGACAAGAATTGACTGACTTGTACATAGACTAATTTGCTTTAATATGTTAATAGTGTTGAATTATCTATGCAAACCAAGTTTACATTCAAATCTATATCTATATTATTGATTTGGAAGGGGTTATTTTATTTTGTAAACAGGACTCTTAGAGTTTTTAGTCTATTTTGACGTTTCTGGTGTCATTTTAAAGAGCTCACTCAGCAATTTTGCTAACCATAAAATGAGCTCATTGTATGGTAAGGGCTTTGCCCCAGTGGCCCTCAAATCTTCCATGTTAACCTTATGTAATAATAGTATTGCAATCATCGGTTCATTTGTTTGTTTTTAATTTTAACATTTTAAGTATTATTACTTTCATGGCATTTTACATTATAATCTTTTTTCGTCATACTGCAACAAAAACAGCTGTAAAATGTTTAATGCAAGCACTGCGGGTCTGAGGTAGCATTTTTACTCTCTAGGGAGTAAAAAGCAATTTTAGCCCCTAGGGAGTAAAAGTCAGCTGATGTCGACTTTGTTGTACATTTTGATTGTAGCTTATTGTTGCTTTATTGTATAAATAGTTCAACATATCGATAGTATAATGTACTCTAACATAACCGTAATAGACAAAACGATAGAATCACTTAGGCTACTAAACAGCTGATTGTTTCCATTAGTAAATTAAATGGAAAACAAGCTATAGTTCGGCCGCTTAGAAAACGACCTCCTCTAGCATTGGTTTAGCATTAGCGCGCAGGTCGTTTTCTAAGCGGCCGAACTATGGAAGTAGTTTTCATAGGTTATATTTAAATAAAAACTATTTCAGTTTTGTAACTTAGTTTGATGAAATAATGGTGCAATATGACGATAAATATAGTTCATCACTTTGTTTGAAGTTATAATATGGCCATATACGATTTTTGTGTTCATGGCTTTGTTTTTACACAGACGTGTTTTCACTAAAAAAGCACACCCTCGACAAAGCCCACAAAAGCTGAATGTGTAAAAAAACTTGGTCTAGTACATACAATCCTTTCTTGTTAGTGTCTGTCCATGTGCCTTATTTAACATCATGGACGGACTAGTGACAGTTTGCAAAATTTGAAATTCATGACAAACAAAAAATTCAACCAGAATATTTATATTTTCACCTAGAAGGTAAATAAATCATTTTTGTTGCAAACTACAGTAGAACCTCACTAATTCAAACCTTAATAATTCAAAAATCTCTATAATTTAGTCATGTTTGTTTTTTCCCTCAGAAAACCTCTAAAAATCTAAAAATAACATACTCATAATTCAAAGTGATTTTTACGCTTAATGCAGCCTCTACAATTTGAATTTGCATATAGGCCTACTGGAGCCTCTACAATTCAAATTTTGTTGCCGTGATTCAAACTGTGTTACCTCCAAAATCTGAAGTTGACCTCAATAATTCAAACTGCGTTACCGTAAAGCCTCTGTAATTCGAATTCAGGACAAAAATGCACCTGTTGAAACATGAACTAATACTCTTATTAATGTCTCTGTTCTCTCAAACTCTCTACACTTAAAACTGCTACCTCCAAACTCTCTTATATTCCAAACTTCCTATCATTCAAAATATATTGAATTTCCTAAGACATTCATTCTACTTTTAAAGAAGAAAAGGATTTATTTATAAAATTAAACACATCTGCCTTAAAAAATAAGGTTGCCAATGACACGGAAAAATATACACTGAAATATATAGGTATATATTCTGAAATTGTGGTTTTAATTAATTGATGCAATGGATACAATTTTAATCTCCATTTGAACACAGAAAACATACTAGTAGTACGTTTTCTGTGATTTAAGTAACCAATGTTAACTCTATTCCAATATGGTAATTGTAATAATTTTGTTCATATTAATGACGACCTAAACAGCTTTGTCCTAATTACTCTGGATGCCTATGATTAGATTTATAATTTCTTATTATAGTAAGCTCAACAATTTCCATGGACTCACAGCAAGCCTCAGTTACTATTTATCCAAATTGGGGTGAATAAAAGTTATTAGAAGGACAGTTTGAGTTTGCTTTCTCTTGCAACAGCCAATCTGGTGTGCGCATATCCTAATCTAACCTCTAACCTAACCTCAGGCGCATGCGCTTCACCAGAGTGTATTGCGCACGCCCGACAGATGCGCCGCGGAGACGGACTACCGATATTTACATAATTAGAAAGCAACGCAAGCACCGCGATTACACAACCGATAAATCGTAACCGGAAGTTATCTTAAATCGGGAGAGAGGTAGAAGAAGAGATTAACCCAACTTGGACACGCGACCTCTGACTGCCCTTGACATTTGGCGGGAACGTTCCCACAGCCACAGTGATCGGTATTTGCGTTGCCAAATGTTCGATTATACTATAATTACACCATCCAGCTTCACAATGACGATCGCTGCAATACCCGTGGCTGTGGGGGATGTAGCGGAGTCAAGCTGTTAAAATAGGATTTAGATCAATAATCAAATATAATTATGCAAGTTGTTTTAGCCATCATCTCTTAATTATGTGGGTTAGCATTGACTATTGTCAAAGGTTATAGTGATCGGTTTTAGTGGCCATCGCTGTTTCTGACGTCATCTGCGACGTTAGATGTGGTTCACTGATACAATGTTTGCTGGGCTGAGGTTTATAACACCTATGACACCTAACATCAACGAATTTTCAAGTTTAAGTCCACGGTTATTTCTTTGAATCTCAAAATATGATTTACGTTCGTGATTTACGTAACAGTATCAATTTATAACTCTACCAACGATGTCAAAAATCGCACCACTCTTATTTACAAAAATTCGCCGGTGGGGGTAGTCTGTTTTCAACTAATCATTCCCCAAAAACACTTAGTCTAATATTCTTTGGGTTTTCACTCCGCCATTCAACGCTATGTGAATACTCTTACTATGACGCCCCGTCGCTCAGTGTCCGACAACAATGCGTGGAGCTCGCACGACGTGCTTGATGCGTGGCTCGGTATCATGGCTCAGCACGCCGAAGAAGCTCAATCAGCCGCCCAGACAGACAGACGGACACTGATGAAGCGGAACAGTTTTGTTCTCCCACACTTTCACGTGTGACGTCATTAACTCGTGACCTTCTCTGTTAATGAAACCCTTATGGCGGTTATTAATGAATGGACTGTTTCAATGCAACATTCGCTAGTTGGTTTCAGTTAGAATTTGCGAACAAATTGATCGAATGAAAATTGTCTACATAATTCGCGCAAACCCGGTGTAGTCTACTACAGATAAACAGATGACAACAGGAAATTTCGAATGGACTTTACAATCGTTATTGTACGCCCAAAGGGTAAATAACCTGATTTATGATTTAAATCTTTGAAACACTAGACAATGCGACCAAATTTTCGTGAAACGCTGGATTTCGGTATTAAATGTACAAAACTAAACGGAACACCTTAAGTAAGCATATAGTTGGTCTACAATTAGTTAAAATCTAGTATTTACAATATATTTCAGTATCCAGTATCGTAAAATAAAATCAATAGTTGTCCGTGTGTATTTAAGTTCAATTGCTTAATTAAAGGTACAATCTGATCTGGTTACTGATCAAGTCGGTTGAATTTTGTCTCAACTCAACTATAAGTGTCTGAAAAGTGCCTTTTTCTCTTCCCGACCGACGTCATTGGCATTTCATAAGAACACAAATCTGGCCAAGCCCCTCCATCTGTATGCCGGGGAGCGAAGTCATCCCATCTACACAAAGTCCAAAACTAACCTAAGCAGCACACCCCTCTCGCAAACAGAATCCTCTATCAAGCCTGGTATTGAATATAGTTGTAAAACTAACACTTCTGGAACACATTGAGAAGTCTCGGTATCCGTCGATACTACAGCCGTTGAAGCATTCTTGTTTGCCAATCAGCCTTGCACGCAACAGCACGTTAACAGTGTTGGATGAATATTGGCGATGATCGTTATGTCTCCCTACAAGGAGAAGTAACAAGTGGTTATTCTCAGGTAGCTGTGACGAAACACGGGTATCTTCTCGCGTTTGCATCACTTGAGAACAGACTGATGGAACTCTCTAGTCAGGTGTTTGAACAGATGATTCAGCTGAATTACTTCACTTGCCAATCTTTGTACAAGAGCTCTGAGGAATGTCAATCAAAAATCAAACGAACGTGGAAACAATAGTTATTTGTGCAACTAGTGAGCAAAGTGAGCAATTGACTCACTCAAGAGAAATACTTACTCATGAGCCGTAGGCGAGTGAGGAATGGTTTCTCGAGTGAGGCAATTGCACTTTGCACTCGAGTTGCACATTATATTTTTCCTACAGTTAACATAAAACAAATAAATTGGGTGATAAATAAAAGAAACGTAACATATTTTTACACAGAAGTGAACTTTTAATATGACATTTAATGATACAACAGTACAACAGCTGACCAGCAGATTTACAGCCAGTGCTACCAACGTATTTCGCGCGCATACGACCTTGTCTGCATGTTACGCGCTCACTATTTCGTGCCTTCACGTTGCAAATCTGGAGTGAGACAAAGTAATTAGAGTGAGACAATGTTAACATTGTCTCACTGGTGAGCGAATTGGCCACTTTGCTTTCTCAAATCAGTGAGAGAACATGTACATTGTTAGGTAACTGTAGGAAAAAATGTTATGAGTATTAGCATGCTTTAGGAAGGATGTGAAATGATCAGCTGGATCTGATACAAAAAGACAGTAGTAATGTTACATACTGATGTATGTACAGAGAGGGTTTTGTCGGTTACTTTTTTTGTCATCCGACCCTTTTTTAAACTGAATAGCCTACTAACAATTTATTTGTGAAATATTTCTTGTCCTCTTTTATTAAATCCAACGATGAGAAGATCACATGTAGGTACAGTGATCTACACTAAACTAAGGGAGGGAAAATTTGTCTATATCGCACTGAAACGTAAATTACACAACACATTATAAAATGCTTCAAATTTTACAGTTTAGCAAGATAAGTGTTTTTACATTAAATGGCTCAAGTTATATAATTTTTACAAAATATGTAGATGTGCGTCTTCGTCTTCACCTTTAGCAACGTCGATAAAAGAGTTGCTATTTGAAACTACTCAGAATACATCAACCACAAACTAATTGTAAAAATCATGAAGATGTGCCTATTTTTGAAATTACAGCTATAACCCCGGAAACAATTCAACTGGGAGAAGAGTTCAGAATGGATGATCGACAAGTGAAAGTGCTAATAAATCGCAATTTAACGAGAGTGCAGATAAATTCAATGATCGTGTAGATGGAAGATCACTGAGGTCGCCTCTCTCTCGGGGTCTTGATCTGCCCTTGGGGTCTTCGGGGGGTTCAGCTCCAGGGTCTTTGAGTTCCTGCTACTTCAGCAGAGTTTAGCTAGGTGTTTTGAATTTTAAACTCAGCTGCTTAAAAAAAGGATAACTTCCAAGTTAAGGATCCATTGTGGTTTTTGGCGTCCGCCACAATGGATCTCATGGCACCGGCCGTGAAAGCCTACGTATAACGAATAAATGTATTACTCCAAACATTTGATGTTTGATTGACTTGAAGTGTAACGTCACTCGATTTTTGAAGTATCTGGAACGATTTTCAGCTCTCGTCGTACACATTTCAGTAAAAAGTGAAAAGGCTGCCTGGATTTGTGGCTACCTTCATGCTGATTGTAGGTAATGTGTTAAACTAATGGGCTCTAGAAAAAATATCAACTACTGATACGTTCCTTGCATATGAGATCTGTTCTTTTGGTTCCACTCCGTATCGATGGATATAAAAACTAGGGGCATAAGTTTATAGAAAAGACTAGCTGTGGGCCCGTTCTACGCAC